CTGTAATCAAAAAGAAGAAGAAGAAGAATAGAAATAGAGTAACAATAGTGTCAATCACTGAACTTTGTTATTGTCAGAGTAAGTTTTTGGGCCACATTGCCTTTTAACTTTGGTCATACATAGATTTAATAGAGGTACATCACTGGTGCTTGCTATTCTGTGTTGTAGCTGCAGAGAAAATTGTACAAAACTTTTGAAAATAATGAAGTTTATAGAAACAATCTCTAACTGAAGGCCACCGACAGGTAGACATATATTTACACACAGAGACACACCACACTGTCAGAACGCCCCTCGTTCAATATGGGTTTTCCAGAGCCCCAGGTGTTTTTCCCATTTGAAAACAGAGCTCTCTCTCCCCCTCCAAGTCCTCCTCGTCTTTCCTGGGAGAGTATGTTCCGAATTCACACTGACAGACTTGTTTCCTTTACGCAGAATGTAGCCTGCTTTAAAACACTTCTCTTTCTCTCTTTTTTTCCTTACTACAACCCCCCCGCACTCTGGGTTTGCATGTTATCTGGCCACCAGCCTCCAGTGTGAGTCACTCTGTGAACTCAGACCAAGGTCTGTAATAGAAACAGATCCACAGTGTCCTTTGTCTCCAACTCTACCACACTGAGTGTGTGATGTGCCTGTGAATGAAAAGGCGGTGAGTGAGAGTCTTAGTGTGAACATGAGTTTTAACTCTACACGTTCTCTACACTCTCCACTCTCCCCCTTTTCTTTCTCCTTTCTGTCCTCTCTCTATCTCTCTCTGTCCCCCACCCTCTCTCCATCTGTCTCTCTGTCTGTCCCCCTCTCCTTCCCCTCTGTCTCTCTCGCTGTCGCTCTCTCTCTCCTCTCTCTTCCTGTCTCCCGTCTCTCTCTCTCTCTCTCCTCTCTTCTTGTCTCCCTTTCTCACTCTCTCTCTCTCTCTGTCCCTCCCTCTTTCTGTTTTTCTCTCTTTCTCTCCCTGCCTGTCCTCCTCTCCTTCCCATCCATTGCTCTTGCTGCGCTCTCTTTCGCTTCTCTCTTCCTCTCCTCTCTCTCTCTCTATCTGTCCCTTACTGTCTCTCTCTCTGTCCCTCCCTCTTTTTGTTTCTCTCTTTATTTCTCTCTCTGTCTGTCTGTCCCCTCTCCTTCCCATCTATCTCTATTGCTGTTGCACTCACTCTTCCAGTCTCTCTCTCTCCCCTCCTCTCTCTCTTTTCTGACTCATTCTCTCTCTCTGTACTTCTCTCTTTCTGTTATTCTCTCGCTCTGTCTACCCCCTCTCCCATCTCCGTCTCCCCTTTTCCTGTCGTGCTCTTTCCGTCTCTCTCTCCTGTTTGTCTCCATCTCTCTCTTTCTCTATCCCTCTCTCTTTCTGTTTCTCACTTATTCTCTCTCTCTCTTTCTGTGTCCCTCTCTCTTTACTTTTCTCTTTTTCTTTTCTCTCTCTCTCTGTCTATCTCTTCTCCTTCCTGTCTTTATCTCTCTCTCTCTCTCTCTCTCTCTCTGTGTGTTTAGAGGGGGCCTCTAGGTTGGCAGCTGTTCTGTTATTTCCCTCGATTCTCCCAGTCTGTTGTAAATCACTGTCATACTTGCCTTTTGTAAAGAGATGAACCAGCTGCTTTACTACTCTGTGTGTGTGTGTGTGTGTGTGTGTAAGCATGTGTGTGTCTATGAGTTCTCTCACCTCATGACCCATATAGTGTGTTCGAGTTCAGTACGAGAGAGAGGGAGAGCATGTTTGCTATGGTAAACACATTCTCACAGTTTGCCTGCCCTTGACCTGTTGAGAAGCAGCCAAACGCTGGATGCAGAGAGGGCCTGAGATGGGAATAGATATGAGGTCGACCGAACCGCGTTTCTTATGAAAATCAGTGTCAGGGGTTATCCTCTTCTCCACATCCAAACCATGCAAGCAGAGAGAAACCCTGATGTACACCTCCCACCCCATCACTCTCACCCCACAAACAGCGGTCTGGTGTATGTGTGTGCGTTCGTATACACTGCCTATCAAAAGTTTGGGGACACTTTTGTCCTTAATGCAAATGAGTATGTTCCCTTTTGTACCATTAAAGACTAACCAGCTGTATGTTGGCAAAAACAAAATAACGTGTAAATATTTGTGACAGTGCTGCTGTGAGAATAATGCCTAATGATATCCCCTTATTGTGGTGTCCTCACCAGCACTCAAACCCTTCACAGTTAGATCACCTTTGGGGCAAAAATGTTCCAATACGTGCTTTTATCAATAGTTTGTAAAAGAAAACTCTTAAATTGTTTAATAAATAACAATTTAATTACCCACTCTTGCTGAAAAGTCACATATATTTCACATGTGAAGTGTGCAAAAACCAGATGTGTACACAAGTAAGCACTGTTTTCACCTGATCACACTTTTTTCATGTTAACACGATTTCATATGTGATATCATATTTTTTCACATGATCACATTTATTTCATGTGAAATGTGCAAAAGCTGTGTTTTATTCACGTAAAATTCATGTGACTTTTCTGTAAGGGAAGCAAAATGAACACAAATTGTGTTTAAAAGTGTTTAAAAGTTACTCAAAGTATTAGCAAATAGCTGTTTTGTGTTTTTTTTTTTACTTCTTTAATCAGGGTTCATGTCACGCTTCCCTCCGGTCCCTCTGTTACTAATTCCCAGCCTCTGGACTCCATTTCCCAGAACACCCCACCTGATCACATGACCCCCAATCTACCTCACGTGACTTTCCACCTTTCTACTTCACTTGATTACTAATTCAGCTCACCTGTTAAGCTCACTATATAAACCCCTCAGCTTGTTTGCATGTTGTGAAGTATTGTCTTTGTTATGCAGAACCTTGCTGAGCCTTCCAGTCTGCTTGCTTGCTTGCTTGCTTGCTTGCTTGCTTTTCTGTGTATGACCATTGCTTGTTTGTTTTTGACCTTGTTATTTGCCTAGCCCTCTTTGTATTGTTGGTATATCTGGTTTGACCTTCTTTTCTGGATACCAGGCTCGGTTTTTTGGACTTCCCTCATGGTTACTGTTTTCTTGATTTGGCTTTTGACTTTGGACAGGTTGACCTTGATTTTGGATGCTCGATTTGTTAATAAACCTATTTTACTTCAGTTTGGTGTGCAAGTGTCTGAATTCTGTCCAAGCCTGACACTATTTTGCGAGGACCGAGGCACCTTTTTTTCTATTGTTTTAATGGGAGTTAAGCATTTTTGCATGCTGGACACCTCACATTTTATGCACCCTGCGTAGCTGTCTTTGTGTGGAGTACTCCAAGTATGAGTTCAACTCTGGTCAACATAGCCTAGATCATGTGTGCTGACTAATCAGATCAAAGATAAAGGGGGTATTCAGTGACAGTCGCTGTCACCGGGTACCCTGAGCTGTTTGATTTCACTGATCAAAATTAGCACCGGCTTGCATAGCTGATTGACAGTTGTGACACTACTATTGCTTAGAAACAGACAGACGAGCCGTCAAAAGCAGACTTAAAAAGTAGCTGTGCTCAAAATAGTAAGTAGTATGCAACATGTGACCAACATGAATTTTGCCAGTATGCTAAAGATAACTGGATGATACCTGGATGTTACTGCTCTGGCCAAATATTCCAGTATGCAGCCAGAGCTATCTTCTTGATATACTGCATCCCAAAATGCAACACGGCCATTTCAGGAGGATGCGTCAACTGACGTAAGTGACTGGTTGCTCTGAATGATTTTAATAGCCTCAGTTTCAGCCTTGGATGGATCTATAAGTGATGGCAAAATCAAGCCCCCTCAGCCTTTTGTGTAGGTCTTGAGGTGGGTTTGCTTACTTTGTCTATTTAATAAAGTTAAAGTACTGCATAGATGATGTGGTAACAACAGTAACATTAAGTTAGTCTCAGCCGAACACGGACCAGCTTTTCACACTGATGTGTGGAGTCACACTGCCTATTATTGAGTCAAACTAGCTCATATCACCAACTATGAATGTAATTTCAAATGAAATGACTGACCTTTAAGCAAACACAGGTGTCTCTGGAAGCCACATAGTTTTACCACACAGAGATTCAGAAGCTAATATTTTATTGATAAGTTTGTTTTTGGGCTTGGAAATGGGTGGAAAACAAGACTTTCCACTCTGTCATGGTGTTGAGTGTCTTTTAAAATCACATCTTTTGCTCCACCATGCTCCACCCACAAATACCTTCCTTCTTTGCTACTGATACTAGATGGGGCAAAACCTGCAGAATGCTGGGAAATGTCCCATTCAACCAAATGAGAAACTGTAGCACAGAACTGAAATGTAGAAAATGATTTTATGTAGAGTGTGTTTTCAAATGATATCTATTATACGTGTATGTGAAAGCTTACAGTGTTAGAACATTAGCACTGGGTGGTACATTTGTTGTTGTTTCTAACTTAACTAGTTCCAATTAGCTACAACCGCAGAATTCAGTTCAGTAATGTAGCATTTTACACTAGAAACTCAGAGTTTTGCAGCAAACTTGAATTGTATCTGAAATTAACTAGAATAACTTGGCAGCCATCTAAGTGTTGGCCCTGTCATGAGGAGATCACGAGTTCGATCCCTGGTGATGCTACATCCATCCGTGGCTGGGAGTCCAAGAGAGCAAAATTGGCCTCACACTCTCTGGGTGGGTAGGATGGCCCCCTGTCTAGTCAGCACGGGCATCTGTTAGCTGATGTAACAGAAAGGCTGGTGATTTGCTCCAAGCATGTTTGGATGTCCAATGATGTTGCATCAGCGGCAGTTCGAAAAGATGTGATGGCACTTCACAGGTCTTGGACGAAGCCTGTGCTAGCTCTCGCCCTCCTAGTGCTGGTGGTATCATGTGATTGGGGGAGTCCTAACTATTGGGCGGAATTGGATCCGTCTAAATTGGGGAGAAAATTGGGAGGGGAAAAAAAAAGCAACAGCAAGAAATCACATTTCAAAAGAAGGCAAAGTGCTCCCAAACTTTTGACAGACAGTGAACCTAACTGTGTGGTACTGCAGTCTAACCCTGCTTTATCTATTCTTTCTATAGCCAGGTGTTTCCTCATGGACTGCCTGAGGAGTTCACTCTGGTCTTCACCCTGCTGTTGAAGAAAAAGAGTCTGAAGGATAACATCTATCTTTTCCAAATATCTGATGAGCAAGGATATCCTCAGGTACAGCCACAGAGGTCTTTTCTCTCTTCTTAAGCAGCCCTCTCCTTTTATTTGAAACCAATTTCTTTTGCTAATGACACAGATACAGGTTACAGGTTCCATGGGCCATTGTTTCCTCCAGCATTCACTACACAGCATGTTAAAGGAGTCTTTCATTAAACCTCATCATTTGAATTGAGACGTAACTAGTGTCCATTTATTGCCTGGCTGATAATAAGAAGTTAAAGACTACCTCTCCAAAACTAATGAGCTAGCACTGATTTCCTTTGCTGTAGTTCAGTCCATGTCGTTAGAAAGTGGAAATAAAGCCCAGGAAATAAAGCTCCTTTCTTTCTTTTTTTTTCCTCCCTCTCTCCCTGCTGTAGCTGTCGCTGGACTTGAACGGGCCGGAACGTACGCTGGCCCTGCGCGCAGGGGCCGAGGGTGCAGAAGCCCCGTCCGTGGGGTGCGTTTTTAATGGAGAAGGTGTTGAGTCTCTGCTGGACCTGCACTGGCATAAAGTGGCTCTGAGTGTACAGAAAAGAGCAGCCTCGCTGCATGTGGACTGCAGCTCTATCGAGACCAAGCCTCTGGAGCCTTGGGGCCAAATCACTACTACTGGACACACACTGCTGGTCATGAGGGCCAACGATGCTGCTCCTGTGGAGGTTAGTGCCAGATTTATGATGGAATGGAGTGGAGAATATAACTACTTAAGCTACAAGGAACTGCATATGGGGAAACACATCAATTCCACACTCTCATAGCGATCACATTTACAGCATTTGGCATACGTTCTCATCTAGAGCGACTTACAAAAGTAGCAAAGAAAAGATATTCTTTGCTAGTGTAAATAGGCTTGAGTCCTGGGATATCCGTGAGCTAAGCCATTGCCAGAAACAACGGTCAGAGCTGATCCCTAGATGCAAAGACACAAAGATACAAACAGTACACGATACAGAGATAAGGCATTTCATGACTGCAGGTACAAGTGCAAGATTAGTGTTCATTTAAGATCTTCACTTGACATTTGAAGACAGCAAGGGACCAGGAGATGATTGTCCAACCATCTGGGTGCAGGACAGAGAACAGTCTTGTCTCTGGATTGGGTCATTACTAGGGTAGGCATGGTCATTCAAACATACAGTTTCCAAACTTTTTCATTTGCATAATCAGGTATACAAATAAGGCAGTGCAGTAGGGCTGCACAATGCATCACTTGTTATTAGTTATCCCAATTTTGCCTCTTGAAATGGTGATATAGCCTAGGCGTGCAGTATGTGAATGAGCCTTGAAACAAATCACTAAATATTTTATTCTTTGCTGTGAGCATCCCGACCAGTTGATCTGTCCATGCTCTGCCTGCAAACGCATTCTTTTAGAGCAACTGTTGTGAGATAAACAACAGTGACAATTTTGCTACCATGCTAACATTAGGTTACCTGATGATAACAGTCTATCATATAAGTGTAACCTTTTATTATAAGTGTAACCTTACTCTGTTATTTATCATTTGAAGTTAGTAATGCACTCAGCTACAGTTTCTCATTAACTTTTGCCAGTGTTCTGTAAAGCTTGTCCAACCTTGCAGCAGTTGTGGGTGGAGCGTGGAAAGGTAATTTGTAACAACTTAACCCCTTACCAAGCCATGGGTCCACTGGCGGGCCCAAAGTTTTGTTACACACTACTATAACCTAAGCAAAGCTCCATTAGTTTGCATCGCAGTCCCTGTAGAATACTAGGCCTTAGTATATAAGAAGCCTGGAATGTTAAAGGGTTAATTGACACATACTGTGTTCTGAGTATTTTGTCCATATTGAACAGCACTGATGTGTATTTTATGATGAAACACAAAATAATAAATCTGACAAATCTGAGCATGTGATGTAGATGAGAACCTTGCGACACAAGCAGCTGATGTTGTATCTCACGGTGAGTGAAATGGCAGCAACTAAGTAGAGCAAGATTTAAAATATTTCTATTAAAACATTGTGCTGTTTATGTAGTGCGAATTAGAGATGTCGTTCTGTCTCAGTGGATAGAGCCTTTTCAGTAACTGGTCTGGTTCTTAATTGTTTCCGAAGTCACCTTTGAAGCATAAGCACATGCTTTTTTCATAAACAAGAGTGCTTAAAATAGCCTCTTTCTGCAGGGTCTCCTAGTGGCTATTCTGCAGGTGAAATGGAAACTGACTGATATTTTTTAATTAATATAACTGTGTTGTCAGATAAACTAGGACACTGTTGTCTCTGTGTATGTGAAATATTGTGTGTTGAGCTGCTAGCAAGCAATGAGGGGCCAATGGGAGGGGTGAAAACACACTCCTGTGAAAACAATTGACTCCTCTCCACAATAACTGCCATAATAAAAACAACATTAAAACACAATAAAAACACAATATTGTCTTGTTTGCGCAGAGAAAGACAACAATCTAGTTTGTTTCTTTTTTCAGTCATGCATATTTCTGAATAAATATATTCAATCAGTGTAACTGAAGATAAAATGCAACTGAGGGACCCCCAAAACAGGCGGAAATTGAATTTTAGCACTATTGTGAAAAATGATTAACAGGACTGTCCAGTGGGGTTCAGCAACAAAACATTTTCTTGCTGAGATGACTGAATGCTCATAATACAATAATCTGGATGTTTGAATAGCATCCCTACTTATAACTACACACCATACATATTGAGTTTATAATAGTTACTGAATAATTTATAGTAGTTACTGAGAAAAAAGTCCTAAGATTGATAACTGAATGATAAGCCCACAATTTAAGGGGTTAATAGGATGAACTGTGTGTGTATCAGCTGAATGACTGAAGACACTGCGGCAGCTTCCCTTCTTCTCCCCTGCTAATTGTGTAGAACATCTCTAATACTGTAATAAGAACGGTTGCTTCCTGTGTGCTGCTGCCTGTAGGCTGAGCCCTGAGCTTTCTTTTCTGTAAGGGATGTGTGTGTGTGTGTGTGTGCTTGTGTGTGTTGCCTCAGTAAAAGTCTGGAGGAGGATGACCACAGGCACTAGTCCACAGGGCTAGTGTTAGCAGCTGTCTAAGAGCATGATGAAACGAGACCCTGCGCCTAAGAGGCTGCCGTAACGAGCTTCAGCGATTGCTTATTCATCAGTTCCTCAACCCGAGCACTTAGTTGAATGATGAGTGAAGTGGTCATATGTAAAGCATCATCAAGCAGCCTTCCAGGCTCTTTCACCCGGGCACTTAAAGGAATGGTTCAGATAAAAATCAGATTTGCGCAATTTTCCCCCCTAACCCCAAATGTAGTCAATCAGTCACGGCATGTTTAGCGTCCAAAGTTTGCTTTTTAAGAAATGGAAATAAGTCAAGTAAGTAGTAATAGAGAAGTAATAGCAGCCTAAATCACTCAAAATATTATTTGTTAGCTACCTTAGCCTCGAAGGGCCAATGCAGAACTAAAGAAGCAAATTTCAGGCCCTGTGTCTGTGCTGATCGATTGCATTTGAGGTAAGTGGAAAATTGTGAACCATTCCCTTAACTCTGTCCAAATGTTCTGCTCGCATTCCACTTCGCGCTGCTGTTGCTTCACATCATAAGGAATTTTTTATACACCACTGTTTTCTCCATGCTGTGCATCTGACTTTAGCTTCTTACACTGAAAATATAATGTATAGAGTATATGTGTACAGCAGTTCCACATAAATAAAATACGTTACAGCAATGCAGATCCTTTTTTGCTTATCTTGCTTTTAAATTTCTACAAAATATCTATTAAAAAAATCACCTTTATTTTCCATAAAACCTATTTCACATCAAACCACTCTGAACAACTTTGTTTAAATCTCAGTGAATTTTGCAGAAATTTTGAAAAATTGTTGGAATTCTCTTTTAAATATCGGTAGACAAGCTGTCTAAATAAAGTGGGACCATAATCGCTGTTGTCAGAACAAAACCTCGTATCTCCACTTTTGTCATTTTTCAGTTTTTGACATAATGTGAAAATCCCTGTTGCCCTTTACATTGTGTGGAAGTCGGATGATGCATGAACCAAAAGAAATGGCCTAAAAGTACTTAGGTTCCATTGACTGGCATTAAAAGTGATGCACACATGTGAATTCAGTGCATTGCTTTTTCAGTGTAGTGCAGTTACACCATTACCACAAAAACACAAAGACTACATTTTTCATGTGAGCTCTGTGTAATGCCATTTTTTTTGTTTACTCTGTCAGGTGGACATTCAGCAGGTGATGGTATATTGTGACCCCACACTGGCCATCCAGGAGGCTTGCTGTGAAATCCCTGGTGCTCGGGTAAGAGACTTTAAAACCAACTCAGTCTAATTTTCGATGTGTTATTATGTGTGTCCGTTTGGAAATGCTTATGTTTTCTCAAATCGCTGTGTTATGCTTATCTTACAGCTGTATGCAGAGGTTTGAACACCCCTGGTCAAATTACATTCTAAATAAAAAGTTAGCTCCTACAGGGAACAAACTAAAATATCATATTTCTGCAAAATTTAGTGCACAATTTCTGTTTATTTGTAACATATTGGAAAAACATAAAATATAAAATGTGCCATTTTAAAACTCACACAGGCCACGTTATATTTTATTTCTTTTGCAATTATAATGTAGTGGCAGACGGAACCAGACGCCCGCAGACGAGGCTTGAGTTATGAAGTTTAATATCAAAGGGTTGATCCAAAAGCACAGCCAAAAAAAAAAAAGCTCAAAGTTGAAAACCAGAGATCCAAACATAGATAAAAGGGCAAGGCACAAATCATAAAAAGGGCAAGGTCATAAACGAGATGCGGGTCATACACAAAAAGGAGAAATCAGACATCAGAAGTAACGCTCGGTATGCTCAACAAGGAGATCCTTCACAATGAGTCCTTCTAAACAAACAGAATATATACAGGGGAAACAGGTGTGTTGAATTTAAAGTCCAGTGATGCAGAGCGCTGAAAGGTGGATCTGTCAGAGTCCTGATTCATGTGACGAAGCGAAGGGTTCTGGGAACTGTAGTCTGAGATTGCTGTTTCGGCTGTAGTTTCAGCCAGGCCAACAGGAATATGTTACATTCAGCAAAGAAACATTAAATATGTAATAAAAATGTGTGTGTTAATTTATTTTCACTCAGAAAATCAACAGAACTTGAAATTTGACCAGGGGTGACTAAACTGCTGCATATGACTGTACTTCTTTTTTTACAACAGACCTCATATTTAAGAGCTGTTCATAAGCTCCCAATGTTGTTATGGCCTTAATGATAAGAGTGATAAATTGTTGAATTAACAAATTGTTGTAAACTGTATTTTAGGTGTGGATGGAGGTGATTGAACTTGCTTTTGCCATTGTATGTGACAAAGTGTGGGATGTTTTTGGACTAATGCTAATATGTCTGGTTTTTGTTTGTTATCAATCTCTTTCATGGAAATACATTTTCATAGCTACATTCTATTGACCTTTTTCCAGTGAAATGTTGGCATAAAATCTGTTTGACAAGTGGACGAAAATGCAGCTAATGTACCACTGAAACTCCATTTTAGAAGCTTAGTGCGACAATGCAGGCAAATTGCCCTGATATTTCGACAGTTTCGGTTGAGCACACAGCACCCAAAATTTCACTTTAAGACTAAGAGAGAAAGCGAGACCATCTTCAGGAGAGGAATGGGTCTCATTATGAATCGGACATGCACGGAGTTGCTGCTGAATTATGCAGTAAGATGAGAATTTGTGGCCTAGCTGCATGTGGGAAGGAATGTAGGTTGATATATATTTTGATTTGGGGGGGAGGGATCTCCAGGGGTCCTCATTTTTCCAGTGTTGCTAGGTGATAAAGCTGGCATTCAGCACAGCTGGGGAAACAGTGGCACACATGTTAAAAAACTCCAGTACGGAGCCACAGGAAGCTCACCTAGTGCTTTTTTACAAAAGACGAAGATGCTAAAAAAAAGGTGTCAAAATGTCAAAACATCAGTTTTAAAGTTTCAGACGATGATTCAAGCTGCGATCCAACATGGGCTCAGCTTTCATCAGGACGTCCCAGGTGCTGGAACAGGGCTTGAATTGTCGGCAGTGAAGAGCTACTCTTTTTTTTATTTTGTCTCCTTTTTCAGGCATCGGAATGTGCCGCACCTCTCTCTTTCTCTCTTTTCGGAATTGATCAGAGCTCTGGCAAGATTTGACTCAGAGAAAACGTTCTGCTCTCACGCAGCTTCAGCCTATCTGAAATGCATCCAGCCTCCAAAATAAGGACTAGAATAGTAAAAATAAAGCGCTCAGCGGGAACTCAGGAGAAAGACATATCAGAGGAAGGAAGGCCACAGGAGAAAACGCACAGCCAATTCCACTCCGGCGTTTGGAACTGGGGTGTGTTGTTGGATCAGAAGATGTTTTAGAGCTCTTATAAAACAAGGAATGGTTGGCATGGCATGCCCGGTTCATCTTTATGAGCGTTTAATAGCAAAGCAGTTTGAGGATGTTTTATTTGGGAGGGGACGCAAGAGCATCGTAATCATGTCGCCAAAGCTGTTAGGAGTGTGGATCTTTTTTCCTTAAGACTCCTCTCAGTCAAACATTTTAATGAGCCCTTTTAATGAGGAAGAAGCTGGCAAGTCTTCCCCGTGTGGTGTTGCGTTGGGGGCGTCTGCTCAGGGCTCCCCGTGAGCGGCGTTTAAAATGGAAACAAGGGCAACACTTGCCTCTGAACAAACGTGCCGACATTGCTTTGACAAGTTTCACAAAGCGAGGAAGGAGGTGTCTGTGATGTGGTGAGGAGTGCGGCAGACGTTTCTAAAGGCCATATGTCTTTTGGACCCTCATCCGAGACAGTCGGTGTGCTATTTTTATTTGCCAGGTAGATCAGCTTCCCGCACTCCTCCGGAAGCTCAGCTTCAGGAACGAGAGACTGTGACCATCTTATCAGTTTGCTGTATGACCTTTGACCTTTGTTTCTTCTCAGTGCCCCCCAGACGCCCCCAAGAGTCGTCGAGCAGCAGAGAATCATGTGGAGTTTGTGCCCAGTCCCTTCAGCCAGGTTGGTGGGCTTCAGCTTCAGCTTCAAGTTCTTTCAACAAGTCCAGTTCTACACTCTTATGGCTCTTCAAGGGTTCTTTAGTAAAGGAAATGGTTCTATATAGAACCATGAACACTTAAGGAACGCTTTCCATGATTGAAGGGTTTTTTGCATTGTGAAAATGTTCTCCAGAATGGAGAATGCACTGTAGATGGTTCTATATAGAACTTTTTTGAAAAGGGTTCTATATAGCACCAAAAGGGCTTCTGCTATTTTTACTATGTCAAGCTTGTAATAAAAGTAGAACCCTTTTGGTGCTATATAGAACCGTCTACAGCACAATCTTTTCACGATGCAGAGAACCCTTTAATTATGCAGACATCAGTTCTGTTGTTGCATTTATTTGATGTGTAAAGAATGTGATCTAACAAAGCTGAAAAGTCATACACTTTTATTTGGTTTATGTAACAAACTACTGTTTTGAACAAAGAAATGCATGAACAGGAATATACGTCAGTAGGATTTACTCTGATGAAACAAGTCAGTAATTTGCTCTTTCTGATCTGAATTGTGCCCTAAATGACACTCACCTGGAAAAATCTCATCGCATCCAACAATAAAGGAAGCCTCGGCATCCTTTATACAGTGATAGAACACATGGTAGCACACAGACAGCACGGATTCTACACGTTTCCCTCTGGCTGATGTGCGCGTGCATGCGCCGTAACTTCTCTGACGGCAGATTTTCTGAGAATAGATCTCCGGTGAGATGCTCAGTTTCATAGGGTTAATGTAACAGCTTTCTGTGAGGTAGCTTTTAGAGGCATTAAAAGCCTGGTTCCTGGCACCACAGCTGTAAACAATTCGGCCTCACATTTCTCCGGAATGAACATTTCAAAACACCCTGAATGACTTTCAGACTACTCTGAATTACTTTCTTTACATCTTAAAGATGTAATAATGCAAAAATATTGAAACTGTCTCAACTCCTTTAAAGAACCATCCGGTGGAAAGTTCTTTAGGAAATCAAAAGTGGTTCTTCTGTGGCATCACTCCAGAGAATCCTCTCTGGCACCTTTATTTGTGAGAGTGTAGTCCAGTGTTTCTCAGTCCTGGTCCTGCAGCGCTTCTGGTCTGCGGATTTAGGTGTTTTCCTGCTCTGATCACATCTGGTCTAACTCACTGGCTAGTTAACAAACCCTTTATAAACTGTAGATTTGTTAGATCTGGGAATAGACTAAAATCTGCAAGATAGGTTTACTCCAGGACCTGGACTGGAATCACTTATCTTGCCTGATGTTTGTGGTCTCAAAGCTACACCCTCCTAATATACTCTGTACATCCGAAACTATTCAGACAGCCCTTTGAATTAGTGACACCTGTGTTCAGCTGCACATGTTCAGTTTGTATGATCTCCATAGAAAACCATTGCCAATGCATTGTGACACTTTGGTGCGGCCATACGTGAGTCTAAGGTCACCATACCCAGTGCCAAGCATCGTCTAGAGAGGTGTAAAGCCCCCCAGCATTGGACTGCAGAGCAGTAAAACTGTGTTCTCTGGAGTGATGGAGCTCCATCCAATACCTTTGGGATGAACTGGAGTGATCCTGAACTAATCATCCAACATCAGTACCCTCACTAATGCTGTTGTGACTGAGTGCTGTTCCAACATCTAGTGTAAAGCCTTCACAGAAGAGTAGAGACTAGTACTGCAGCAAAGAGGGACAAACTCCCTATTAATAGCTTTGATTTCAGAAGAAGTTGGACGAGCAGGTGTCTGCAAGTCTAGTGTACTATACCTCGTGGATTACCAGTGTGTTAATTACTGTATGTCTAGTTCTCATTACAAAATCATTAACCTGCATCAATAACAAGTGACCTTAAACATTTCTCTTGTTGCTCATAATTTCATATGAACAATTTAGGTGGTGAAAATGGTGGTAATGAAAGGCTCTCAAATTAAACAAAGGTCTGAATGTTTACATGTAGGTTCCTCTTCTGCCAGAGGGTTGTGATAAAGCCTGTGTTTAGAGATTCCAGCCCACTTCCTCGCAAATGAAAAGAACAAAGACCTGCATTAGCTTGTATTAGCTTGTATTCAGATGCACAGCTTTAGGACTACAGATGTTCATCTCCAAAACAAGGCCCATGTGTGGCCCTGCTGCGAGGCTAATGTAAGGAACAAGAGGAGATCTTCCATGACAGTCCATGTTATTCCTGTTGTGTAGGCAGAATCTGAAGGTGTTGATTAAACTGCATCGATTTTGGAACATTGGAATCAATTTTGAATTAATTGCAATTTGGCAAAAAATAAATTTCTCAGGCTTTTTTCAAACATAAAAATAAAAAAGCAGTTTGATGTATTGTTTTTATTGTTTATTTACTTTATAAATAGTCCCTTCAGACACATATATGTAGTAAGTGTAGTTTTTTTTTTTTGTTTGATTGTTTCCCAATTTTCATCCAGTTCCACCCACTAGTTAGGACTCCCCCAATCACACGATACCACCAGCGCTAGAAGAGCAAAGGCTAGCACAGCCTTCCTTCGAGACTGTGAAGCCAGCCACTGCATCTTTTTGAACTGCTGCTAACATAAAGTCAGCGGACTAGCATCACGTTGGGTGATGGGGAAGAGGGAGGGCCATTATGCTCCCTTGGGCCCAATCCCATTTCTTCTTTCTACTCCTACTCCTTCTTTTCGAGGGTCACCTTGCTCCTTGGAACTAAGTTACAATGGGTAGTGGTTGAAACCTTCCACATTGAAATGGAATAACCCTCAAATAAAGAAGAACATTACTTCATTAACAAGCTACTAGCTCTGCTCTGCAGGCGACCCTGCCAGTCTGCAGTGATAGCAGAGGAGGGTAAAGTTCAGGAAACTTCGCTGCTGGGCTTTAGCTAAATTTAGGGAATCGTATGCCTTCAAAAAGAGAAGGATGGGACAGTTATTTATTATCACCCACCCCTAATTCTTCAGTGATACAAAGTTATTCGCCAGATTCTTGTTCAAATTTTCCTGTTCCACCTTAAATGGTGCAGCATTTCTGATGCCTGAGATGCCAGAATGTAACTGCTGGACCATTTAAGGTGGAACGGGAAAATTAGCTAGCTAGCTACCAAGTTATCGGGATATTACTAGTGATTTTTTTTAAGCTTGGTATGAAAAAACAACATAAAACTAAGATAATATCATGGTTATTGTAATTTTTTGAACTGAGAAAATACGTGTGGGTTTCTTTGGCTGCTTGTGTAGCCATCTTGATGTTTTTCTTGGGCCTTGCACTCCTGGCCATGGATGGCTGTAGCATCACCAGGAATCAAACTGGCGATCTCCTGATGATAGAGCCAAATCTTCGATGGTTGCGCCACTCAGGAGCCCCATCAGTGTGTTTTTTTAAAAATAGTCCTATGTCAAACCAAAATTATTGAATCAAATCAAATCATAGTGAAATTTGAGGTGAAGTGTTTTTGGAACGATAGCTTGAAAGAACCAATTTTGTTTCCCTAAAGAACCTTTCAGTTTTTTGTAAATGACATGTGAGTAATGCATGAACTGTAGACTTGATTAGATGTAGACTAGATTGAATTGTTTCCTGTAGTTTTATGATTGAATCAAAATGTTGTGCTAAGATTAGGAGTGTCCAGTCTTATCCACAAAGGACCAGGGTCAGTGCAAGTTTACATTTCCTACAAAGCAGGAGATCACATTATCAGTTGTTTGAAGACTAAGCAGTTGATCAAATAAGTAGAATCAGCTGTGCTTCTGCTAATTTGGAATGAAAACCTGCAGCCACACCAGCCCTTTGCGGATAAGACTGGACACCCTGGCTAAGACTGAAGAAGCTGTGTCAACAGGATAGAGCAGAAACAGGAGGAGACATGAGACCGTGACACGGCTCATATCTTACAAATCTGTATTTAACCCTAATCAGCACTCTTAGCAAACATTTAACATCAGACCTACAGGCAGGTGAATGAGTGGCTTGACTAGAGATGAAAAATGGATTGGAGCTCATTCAGAAGTGCTGAATTGCCAAATTAAACCCCTACACCTCCTCAGCCCCCGCCCAAACGGGCAGCCCTGCTTTTTCCTGTCCTTGTATGCTCCCACTCACACTGAGTTCAGCTTTTCTACTTCTCTGGCCTTCCCGTTCTCCCTCTGTTGCTTGCTGGTTGTGTCTGTTTTGCATTCCGAGTGGATTGCTGGTCCTAGCTCATCTCCTCCCGTCTGTAAATGACTTGAGTGTGTGCCCTGTTCCCTGCTGCAGTTTGTTTGTCCTCCAGTGGCCCAGCATGCACTGCAAACAAAGCTGCGTCTTAACTCGCAAGCCTTTCAGAAATCTGAGCAAGGCTACAGCTCAGCACTGACTAACATATGTAAACCCACTGACCCTCATTCAGTCTCTCTTTCCTACCTCTCCCTTTTTCTCTCTCTCCCTTTCTCCGTGCCCCTTCTCTCTCTCTCAGTCTTTCACTCTCCTCCTACTCTCTTGCTTTCTCTCTGCCCCTTCTATCTCTATCAATCTAGCTCTCTCTCACTCTTTCTTTCTTTCTTTCTTTCTTTCTGCCCCATCTCTCTTTTTTCTCTTTTTCTCAGCACCCTCTCTCTATCTCTCTCTCTCTTTCTGTCTCTGTGTCCCCATCTCTGTCTCTCTATCTCTCTCTTTCACTCTCCTCCCCTCTCTTGCTTTCTCTCTTTCACTTCTATTTCTATCAGTCAAGCTCTTTCTTTCTTTCATTCTTTCTCTCTACCCCATCTTTCATTTTTTCCCTCCCCATCTGTCTCTCTGTCTTTCACTGTCTTGCTTTTCTCTGTCCCTCTTTCTCTCTCACTAACTTGTTTCTCCTTCTTCTGTCTCTCACTGTCCCTCTTTGTTTTTCATTCTTTTACTCTCACACTCTTTCACTGACCTTCTCTCTCTCTGTCTCTCTGTCTCTCTCTCACTCTCTCTTTCGCTGTCTCCCTCTTTGTATCTCATTCTTTTACTCTCACACTCTTTTTCACTGTACTTCTTTGTCT